ACCCTTCCTTATGTTAAAATAATTTATTTTGAAAAACCTCTCAATATGTTTTTAGATTCTGGTAGCCATATATCCTTATTAAATCCTTATATAGCTAAACAGTATTATGCAAATTCTATAATATTTAAGCCAAATGTTATAAAAACTTCTTGTGGCGAACAAATAGCTAAATATTTCTGCTTTTAACGAATTTCAAACTAAAGAAAAAATTATTTTCACATTGTTTAATTTTCATCCATTCTTTGATGGACTTATCAGTTTTAGAGACCTAAGAAATATGGGATTTAATTGGAATTTACATGAAAATTTCCTATTTAAAGATGATGTTATTATTCCTGTATATTTATGTTCTCCTTCATATTACAGTTGCAACTATAACTTAAAATTAAATGAATTCGAAATTTTGAAAACAAAGTTACCGGTTAATGTTATTGAAAATGGAACGTATTATGTTCCACAAACCAAAATTAATTCACATTGTTACATTCCAGAAGGGATTGTTAATGTGGAAAATGCTCAAATTGTCGTAGAAATTCATAATGTTAGTAGTGACTATACTTATGTAAATCTTCAAGACCCTTTACCGGTTTTTCCACTAAGTGAATTCGAAATATGTAAAGTAGAGTTTCATAATTTAACATCTTATCCTGATGAGTATCAAATTGAACATTTATTACGACTTGAACATTTAGATGAAGACGAAAAATATAAAATTATTAAATTATGTAAAAATACAATTTTTCAACTCCCCCAATGAACCTCTTTCATCAACTACTCGAACTACTCATGTTATTCGAACAACTGATGAATAGCCTATATATTCAAAACCCTATAGAATTCCAGAAATTCATAAAAAGGAAATTAATAGACAAATAGAAAAAATGCTAGAGGATGGTATTATTCGTAATAGTAGGTACCAGTCCCTACTCCAGTAATGTCTGGATTGTAAAAAAACGTCTTGATGCCAGTGGCATTGATAAATATCGAGTGGTCATTGATTACCGCCGTTTGAACAGTAAAACTGTCCAAGACAGATTCCCAATCCCAAATATTGATGACCTGCTAGACAAACTTGGCAAATGCCAGTATTTCACTACGTTTAATCTAGCTAGTGGCTTTCATCAAATTAATATGCACGAAGATAGTATTGAAAATGCCTTTTGGCTTAAAAAATGCGCCAGCAACGTTTTAGAGAATGATTAATGAAGCCATAAAAGATCATATTAATAAAATATGCTTGCTTTATATGGATGATCTAATAGTTTTTTCTACAACATTGGATGAACATATTTTAAATCTGAAAGAAATTTTTTAGAAATTTCAGGAGTGTAATCTCAAAGTTCAATTAGATAAATGTGAATTTTTAAAAAAAGAAACAGAATTTTTAGTTCATGTTATAACCTCTGATTGTATCAAACCTAATCCAAAAAAAGTCGATGCTATTCTTAAAATGCCTTTGCCAAAAACTCCCAAAGAAGTTAAAAGTTTTTTGGGCATGATTGGATTTTATAGAAAATTTATTAATAACTTAGCTAAAATTACTAAACCAATGACTCTTTGTCTTAGAAAAGGTCAAAAGGTAGTTCATTCACAACAATTTATTCAAGCATTTGAAACTTGTAAAGCTATTTTATGTAATGAACCTGGATTAGCACATCCCGATTTTACAAAGATTTTTACACTAACAACTAACGCTAGTCAATGTGCCATTGGAGCAGTATTGTCAGTGTGGAAAACCTATTTTTTACGCAAGTCGTACATTAAACCCTAATGAAGTAAATTATTCAGTAATTGAAAAAGAACTATTATCTATCGTATGGGGAATAAGGTACTTTCGTCCTTTTTGGAAAACATTTTAAGGTTCAAAATGATCAAAAACCATTGAAATGGTTAGAGAGTTTAAAAAAACCTAATTCTAAATTAGTTCGATGGAAGTTACTTCTATCTGAATATGATTATGAAATTGATTATATTAAAGGAGAAGATAATGTTGTAGCAGTCGCATTATCCAGAAATCCAGTACAGGAATCATTTATTCCTGAACATGACAATAATTCACTTATTAATGAACCTAAAGATATCAATGAGTCTATTCAGGCATATTTTAATTTTGTATCCACATCCTCGACAATCCATTCAGCTGCAGAACCTCCTTTATTATCTTATCCCTATTGTGAAAAACCACTAAATTATTTCAAAAATCAGATGATTATTAAAATATCGGATTCGTCTCCCGTTCCTATGTTTATTAAAGAAAAAATATTTGATAATGACAGATATTTTATAAATCTTCGAAGGAGACATATGGATGAAGATTTAGAAGAATTTATAACAAATTTAAATAGTAACAAAACATATAATTTATTCTTTCCAGATAAAATAGATGAACCTTCTTTTTAAAAACGAATTCAGGAAAAAAATTATCAAAATTTATTCAAAATTAAATATCTGTTCGAATAAAGTAACAGATGTGCTTTCTGAAATAGAACAAAGAGAAAAAATGAATTATCATATTTATAAAACTGGTCACAGAGGCATCAACACTACTATTGAATCATCAAAGAAAAATTATTATTGGCCACATATGATTAAAAATGTTACAAATTATATAAACGAATGTACAATTTGTCAAAAATCTAAATATGAAAGACAACCCAATAAATTTGAATTTAAACCAATTCCAATTGGTACTAAACCCTTTGATAGAATACATATGGATGTTTTATCAATTTCTAAAGAAAAATTTCTGACCGTTATTGATACTTTTTCCAAGTTTGCGCAAGCATACCCTATACTGGGCACAAACTCAATAAATTTTTTAGAAGGTTTACTAACCTTCATATCTCATTATGGCATTCCCCAAACAATAGTTTGTGATGGAGGAAGCGAATTTAATAATTCAAACCTTCTAGACTTTTGCAAACTACATAAAATCGAGCTTCATTTTACAACCCCTAAAAATCCTAATTCAAATAGTTATATGGAAAGATTCCATTCCACTCTACTGGAACAGATTAGAATTAAAACCAGACAATTGGCAACGGTTGCCATGGCAACAATTTTTACGTAACTGATTTCAGCTAAACGAAATTTGACCTTAAATTCCGTTTAGAAATCCCCAAACTTAAATTAAATTTGACATATGACATTATATAAAAGGTTGCCACGGTATGTATGACGTCGCCGCAATATCCACAATACTGTAAAGAAGTATGGTGTGGTAAGCTTATAAAGAAATGCTCTAAAAGTATATTATATTAGCGTCATTTATTAAACAAATAAATTCACTTGATTCAAAAAAGGTTTAAAAACTTTTGGATGACACAGAGTAATTATGTTCCAAAGTTTTCGAAAAGTACGTTGTTTATTACTTTATAGATGACGTTATATTTGTATTTAAAAATTATGTACTGCAACAATTCAATCAAAATAGATGAATAAATCATCGAGAGTGACTGGAAATAAATTAATAGAACTGCTTTTTAAAGAGTATGGAAATGTTATGTCAAAAATAAGATATTTTTTTATGTTTCCGTTTGGTTGATTTTAATTGGACAAGCCTCTGAAAGGTTGGAATAGAAACTGATGTACAAACTAAAACAAAACAAGGTGTCAGGATGTGGAATATACAATTCCTTAAACATCAACGTAAAACGGGCTGTGAGTAATAGTGCCAATGTAGTTCAAACCGAACTAGCAGAGATTCTCATAGCAGCAAAATATGTCACCAGAAACAATATCACTGGTAGGAACATGCTGATCTATACAGATAGCAGATAAGTACTACTTACCCTGAACAGACTACGAATTTACTCAGGGTTAGTACTATAAGCTTTGGCAAGAGTATCTATTAACAATGTGGTCTCCTTAAGAAATTATCTAAGATCACGCCACATCGAAAGGTAACCTTCTTGCTGATTCACTAGCCAAGCAGGCAGCCAACCAAATACTTTTTGGACCTGGCCCTTCTATTGGACTGACAACATCGGTAGTAACAGACCTAATTACAGAGCATTTCCTTGTGAAATTCAAGAAAATATGCGATGAAACAAGAAACTGCAGAGTTGCCAGTGAGCTTTTAAGTTATCCTGACAACTCTACAGCAAACAAATACTTGACTATGACTAGACAGAATCTGCGCCTGATCACATGTACTTGATTTTTCTGACTTGCTATTGCCAAGTACGGAAGCATCTCCATATTATGGGGCTGTTAGAATCGGCAGCCTGCAGGGGGTGCGAACAAGAAGATGAGACCATTGAGCATATCCTTTACGACTGCCCGATGCTCTCATTTATTAGAATATTTGTTTTCGGGAGTATTGGCTAATATCAGCCGATATAAGAGAAGAACACCTCTTGACAAATTTGTCAAATACATCAAATCTGTAGGCTGGCTCACGAGTTAAGAGGTGCCTGTTATCTTAGGAGGATACACAATGGCCCTAGTGAGGCTTAAGTGCCGTGGGCTAACCCACCTTCCACACATTACATATCCAGAAGTACTATAGGTAGCTGTAAATGCATTTCGATTGCATCCTGATAGCAGCGACTTGATTCCTCGGAGTGAGTTTTTCATATATTTTAATTATTGTTTTGTATTATTATTTATTTACTGTTTTAATTCGAAACGTTCATTAAAATTTATGAACAACGCAATGCATTTTTTTTTTCATGTTATAAAAATCTTAAAACTAATTTCTAATTACTACTTAGATACAACTGTAATTTTCACAAAACGCTAATAATAATATACCAAACGTTTCTCTACATAAATTGACAACTATATTTGACGTTAAACCACCTCTAAAAGAGAAAACTTAGCAGTTTTTTGTCCACGAATCGCCCATTTAGTTTCGCTTCTTGGGTAGGTATTCTTTGGCAATACTAAAGCCCCATAGGAAGAGCCTCAGTAAATTTGTGAAAATGCACCCAATTTTAACGAACATTTATTTAAAAAAAAGTAAAAACCTATTTCTATGTATTAGTTCCACAACTTACTGTGTAATATTTTCTTGAACAGCTTGATAAGTCCCATCCATATCACATTTTGGATATTCAAACCCAAGTAACATATTGTATCCGTCTTTTTTGAAAGAATTATATTCATTCAATATTTTAATATATTCCAGTTCGCATTTTTGGTAGTGCCATGGTTGTTGTTTTTTATCTAAAAGGAAATTTTTATTATTTTTTAATCTCTTCTTTCTGTTTTTTAATACTAGTTAATTATTCGACTCAGTAGCCCAATTGGTCGAGCGAGCATATATTAAATTACAGGCTTTTAATGAAAATTGACACGCTGATGCGGATTCTAGACCAAACTATGTAAATATTTATTTAATTTGCATAGATAGTTGTAAGATTTGATTGGTGCCGTATTAACAGTAATGTAATCTCTGTTGTGACGATATTCGAATTAAAATCGCAGTGAGTTACCGTTTCCAAATAATAAAATCCGTCCCTCCCCGCACAAACTACTGCTTTAGGAGTTCACTCGTAAAGAGTTGAATTATAGGGAACATTTCGGGCATTAATATAAAACCAATTAAAGTCGTTCATTTTCAGTCACGTGTATCAGCATATCCAATCAGCTCTGACTTACACTGATAAGTTTCCTAGGGATGTTATCTCTTAAGTCAAGGTTGCACCAAACAAACCAATATGTAGGAACTATTACGTCTATTTTTTATTCCGCTAAGGGCTGATTTCACCGTTGAGTTAAGAGAAGTTTAAAATGACATTTTTACACTAACAATGTCATTTTAATCTCCGTTTAACACAGCGGTGGAATCGGCCCTTAAAGATATTGGATTAACGGTAATAAAATGTGTTTTGTTTAAGACAGCCTAATCAGTTTTGTCGCTTTAAACTTAAATTTTTTATTTTTTAGTTTCGTCCGAATGTACGTAACTTTTTGTGTTCTATAGTCTGACGGATCGTCTCGTTTTTTGTTTCTTTTTTTAATTATTTATTGTTTTGTTTTTCGTTTGTTTCTCGCATATTTTCGTTAAGTCTAATAGCTGGTTGTTTATGGATACTATTATATGGTCGTTTAGGTCAAAAGGATCTGTTGAGTTTTTTATGTCCTTTTATTACCTTAAATGGGGTAAATTTTGTATCGCTATGAATAGAATTATTGTAGAAAAGTATAGTTCGTTTTATTAACTTATCTGAAGTTAGATTTTCATTATTTTCCCTTAAACAGCGAAAGAGCTAGATGAAGGTTGAATGGAAGCGCCCTACTAGAGAGTTTGAATTGCTTTTCGGGCCGTTGTGTAATTTAATTCAACCCCGTAAAGTTCACAAAAAGTCCTTTTTATTGTCTTTATTTTTTAAATTTAAAAATGAATAAATATTATACATTTCATAAATTAAAGTTTCGAAAGATTTTACTGGCAACGGCTCATTTAATGTTACTGAAACTGATTCATTGGAATTATTTTGGACTTCTATTAGTGCAAAACCTTTTTGCCTGTATTAGAATTTCTGTTTTCTATTTTACCTAACTGGTAATCTTTTTATCATTTTTTGTTGCGCTTCTACAGATGGCGAGAAAAAATCTTCTCATTGGCTATACTTAAAGGGTATTTGAAAATTGGGTCCTATTAAATTAATTAAACTTATATTTAAATTCATATTTATTAAATCGTTTAATCCTATGATACCATCATAGAAATTGTGAAAATCCAATAATAAAAATGACATAACATAATTACAATTAAATTTGGGAAAAGCTTTGATAGTTGCTTGGTAACAAATGCCTCGTGTTCCTACAGCTGTTTTCATTTGTGCATCTATTCTATAAATAAAATTTGGGAAGTATTTTTCTATTAATATAGGTTTAATTATTGATCGCCAACTACCAGTATCTATAAGTAATTTTAATTTTGTTTCATTAATTTCAAGATACGGCAGAGTATTTTCTGACGAAATATTTTTTTCTACTAGGGTTGGTTGTTCACGAGGCTTGTTTTGGGAAAATTTTCCATCTTGCTATTTTCATTAAGGTTACTTGACTAATTTGCTTGGGTTAAATTAGAAATGTTGAAAGTTTCGTTAGGGTCAAATGAAGTGTAATCTTTAAAATGGTTTTGATAACAGATATTTTCAGAAGATTCATTAAAATATTCTTAATAGTATAAGTAAAATTGGGCGTGCATTATTACGATTAAAATTATAATTTTGTCTTCGTGACAACATAGTGGGGTTTCTTGAAGTAGTCGACATAAGTGTCGGATTAGAGAGTTGATTTGGAGGGATTTGGTTAGGCCAGAAAGCATTTTAGGGAGGTCTGAAAACTTCCCTGTTTGTAGGAAACCTTCTAAGATGCAATCGTTGAGGTTGAATAATAATTGGTTGACTTGGGTATGATTGATTTGGAAATCGACTATTTAAAAATGTTTGTTGATTTCGTGGAAAATTATAATTATTAAATCTGGATTCATGGGATCCTCGCTGAAAAGTTGGGATTTTGAGAAAATGATTGTGTTGGCGTGTAAGATTGGCGATAATTATTATTACTATGTCTAGAAAACGATGTTTTGTTTGGGTCATTAAAATGTCCGTACAAATTTTGGAAATTTTTAAATTCTGTAACGTATACCATAGCATCTTCCAGTGAAGCTGAAATTCGAAAATCTAAAATCAGAACTTAGTTGGTCAAAATGAGATTTTACCTTTGGTCTCTTATTGGCATATTGTGGAGTTATACCCCATTTTTGTAAAATTTTGACAGCTTCGTCTTTGATTTCAGAATTTTTATTTCCAGTTTCAGACAAACACTCTATACTTTTTTAACAAATTAACGGTTTGATTTAAGCTTTTGATAAAGTATTAATCTCGTTCAATACTTAATTAAAAAAACACACAAAAATACAAACTCAAAACTACAATATTTTTTAATATAATTTTTGCTTCGTACCGCTCGTCCTTTTTTTAGATGTTAAAATAATTTTATTAAGAGCTTTCTCTATGTCTGTAAACCAAAATCTTATGGCAGTTAGAGAATGTAGCCTATCAGATCATCATATCCCTGTCCTCTACACACAAAGTAATTTAAGGTATTCAAGATTACATGTGTTATTCCTTTAGCAGACTGACTCAACTATAATAAATCCTAAAAAACTTTCTTGGATAACTATAGTCTCTATTAAATCGTTTTTACCTTTTATGAATTCAAGATACCTCACCACCATACTAAGCTGATCGACTTTTGTGATTCTGAGTATCTATTAAAATCTTTTATTTTTTCTAAGATGGTATTTTTAAATTAATACCTATTAATTATAATATTTTGAATTTCTAGCGATGGATATTTAACTGTTCCATTTGGCATATTCAGTACTTGCTTCAAAATCGGATCATTTTTAATTTCCATTATCTAAATATACATTATTATCTTCCCTGTGTCATGAAATGCTAACATACGTCTCCCAAGTAACAAAGTAATGTTAAACAGTCTATCTAGGACTTGCTGCCAAAATTCAGCTTTACGATTAAGCAAATCTGTATTTTTCCCTTTTTTTAGGACTATATACATACAACTTAAAACAACACATCAAATGGCACTGAGTTAAAAAATGTTCTTGAAATTTTTGTTGATAAACCCTGCCAGTCATTTAGGCCGCAGTTTCACTGTAATTTTACTTTAAAAGGCAAGGGTTCACCATTTCTGTTTGCATTTAAAATCCGCTAAATGTATTAAAATAAATCGTCTATCAACTTAAGGTTTGCGTCTGACACACAAGGAATCGCATTTCGTATAAGAAAAAGATGGGTATAACTTTCCGCAAAGTAGGTGACCCAGGACGTGGCGGTCCCCGGCAGTGAGTAGAGGAATATTTTTCTACTTCTGCTTTCAAGCCTTCGGCCGACAAGAAATTTGCATAAGCAGGCCCAGCATTAGAATCGTTTTAGGAAGAAATTTGAAAAGTAAATTTCTAGTTTGTAAATTACCTTTCATGTCATAAAAAGTTTAAATTAAAGTGTGCTAAAATACTTTCTTAGCAAAAATAAAAAAATCTAAACAAGCGCGTAAGGAACACAAACTTTGGAATGCACCAACTTATATAAATCAAATTGTGTATGTATATGCATATTACATATGAAAATGAAAGGTCAATTTTTATTTTGATAATTTTACTAAGTTTATGTTTTGTAAGATGTAACAGCTAACTTTTGTGAAATCAATAATCCATGCTTAAATAAAACAGGAAAACAGAAAATATTTAATAGGCACAAAAAATTATTAGAATTCCATGCAAAAAACAGTCAATGGACTCAAATAGTTTTACATAAATTCAAAAATTTTAAGCAGTGCCACAACAAATACCATAAAATATACCTCCCATACACCTTTCTTACTTAATTGATATATCTGATTACCATGTAGGAGTATACAATTTGTCATATAAAACGTTGAATTTGTGTTGGATTAACCCGCTTAAACTATTTTAGTCGGCTTCAACGATTTCGTGTATATCCCTTTTTATTTCTTTATTTGAGCTGTCGTCTGATACCTGTTTACCTATTATTGAAATATTAGAGGACAATAAATGATAACGGAAATTCCTAATATAATTTAATTCCGGGAATTAAATATTTTAATTGGCATCATTCATTTTTCAATTCAGGCAATAAAACTATTATCTCTGTATCTGTTCTGAATTTAATAAGTATTGTAATGATTTAGCTTTTTTTTAATGTATCCTTATATAGGTACAAGAAATGAGTACTAGTAGTTTGTGCAACAAGAGTGGATATCTATTATGATGGCCATATCGCACGAAGACGAAATTTAAGCACGACGCCATTAGCGGAGTGCTCCTCAATCGTCTGAGTGTGATATGGCAATCCACTCGAATTGTACAGCATATTTTTTCTACGATCCACTAATGAAAATCTACAAATAATATTAAAAATTATGTTAGTTTATTGAGATAAAATAACTAATTTAAACTTTCACTAGTTTATAAAATAGAATAAACAAGAAAAAAGGCAAGTGCTCTGAACTCACCACCACCGAGGTGCTTAAATTTTTTTTCTTTAATACCCGTAATTAAATTGACTTTATATAGTTTTATTAAAATTAAAATTAACGAAATATTTATAATTATATACCAAACAAAAATAGAAATGCTATTATTATTTATCGAGTCTACACAAGAATAACTTATTTTATTTATTATAATATATTTAATCTCAATAACTAAAAATTTTTTACTAACAATTAGTTTCACAGAAATGTTACGTATTTAAAATTTTAAAAATAATAGTAGTTGGATGATCAAAATAGGAACTGTGATTGGTGGATTTTATTATGTTTTGTAGTGTTCTTACTACCTAGAATGGATATGAAATATAATTGTGCAGTCCATTCTTTTTCGTTTTGTACTTTATGCGTAGATAATCTAATATCCTTGTGAGTATAGAAAAAATTTATTTTCGTTTCCTAGACGTTTTGCAATTTCATGTTTTCTTTCACTATTATACTAACTTTCTTATATTATCAGCTTGCACTATTATTATTGATAACGTATTAGCGGACACTTTTTTGGATTTGTATCCCAATTGTGCAAATAAATTAAAGGTATTATTTTAAACATAGATTTAGGATATCAATATGTGCTCCGAATATGTTTTTTCAATGCGAACGGGATGCTTAACAAAACACCCTTGGTAAGCAGTTTCATTCATAAACACAAATTTGACATTACACTAATTTCAGAGACACACTTTAAACCCGCCCACAACTTCAAAATCAATAACTACTACGTGATTCGACAAGACAAACAAGACAGCCCCGCCCAGAAAGGTGGGGGGATAGCACTGATCATTAAAAACTCGCTAAAATTCGAACAACAGCCCAGTATAGACGTCACCTTCGAGCACATCATTATAAAAATTCATAATTTATTCTTGGTTGGAGTCTACAATCACCCCACTAACAATTTCACATCCCTTGAACTACACTCCGCCACGTCTATAGGTAGTAGGGTCCTCATTTTTGGAGATCTCAATGCGAAACACCCGCATTGGGACTCCAACTGCATAAAACCAAACCCCTCCGGGAGAACACTGGATAGATTCGCCGAAGCTAATGACTACATCATCCACTACACGGACGAACCAACGTTTTACCCTTACAGTGGCATGACACCGAGCACACTCGACATAGCACTAGCCAAAAATCTACCACACATTCACAACATTAGAACAATCACGACATTAACTTCAGACCACGACCCCGTCTATCTCGAAATCAAAACGAACAAGACAATCATCAGACATCAAGGCACATACCTAGATTATAAAAACGCAAACTGGAGACGGTACAGACAAATACTAGACAACACAATTATCATCAACAACGACATCACAGACAATCAAACGTTAGAAAACGAAATACATAATCTTAAAAATGCAATTATCACGGCCAGAGATGCCTCAATTCCAACCAAAACACACGGACAATTCTACGACGACCTCCCCCAAGACATTCTAGACCTCATAAAAAACAAAAACAACATACGTAAACGCTGGCAACAGCACAGACAAGCCGCTGACAGGGTCAGCCTCCAAGACATAGGTAAATACATCAATAAACTCATTAGCGAACACCGTAATCTAAAATGGAGAAAAACCCTGGAAGCGGTTAACCCTCATGACAATTCAGTGTGGAAAGTTGCGAGGAGATTTACTAAACCTTACTCTCGGCTTCCCACACTGAAATACAATGACAAAGTGTGCTCCACTGACGAACAAAAAGGCGAAGCTTTCGGCGATCTATTCCAGAAAATTTTTGAAAACAACATCCCAAACAATCCATCACAACAAAGCATTGAAAACACAGTTGTTGACATTCATAACATGGAGCGGGCCCCAGTACCTTCGAGTTCCTTAACCACACCCCAAGAAATCAGGGATGTAGTCAAGAAACTACAAAACAAAAAAGCCCCTGGGCCTGATTGCATAAGCAATAACCTAATAAAAATTTTTTCTAAAAAAGCCTATGTCAAAACGAACTACATAATTAATGCTATTTTGAAACTACAGTTCTACCCTGAAGCCTTTAAATCAGCAAATATAATCCCAATACTAAAACGTGGCAAACCTCAAAATAACGCGGGTAGCTATCGCCCCATCTCACTGCTAAACGGCTTAGCCAAACTGACAGACCGCATCATACTTAACCGAATACATACACACGAAACTGACCACCCGATTATACCGTCAGAACAATACGGGTTCAGGGCAGGCCACGGTACAGTAGCTCAAGTCATCAGAATTGCTCATCATGTTAAGAAAGCTTTCAACAACAAGCAACAGACAGTTCTGGTGGCTTTAGATGCTGCCAAGGCCTTTGACTCGGTTTGGACTGACGGTCTTATCTACAAAATGTTTATGAATGACTACCCCGTATTCATTGTAAAAACAATTCAAAGTTACTTATACAATAGAAATTTCCACATTAAAATTAACGACACACTCACAGGACCATACATAGCAAAAGCGGGGGTACCCCAAGGTTCAGTACTTTCGCCCCACCTGTACACCATTATGACCCATGATATACCAATGGGTAATAATGGCTTACAGACGGCACTGTACGCCGATGACTCTTGCGTTTTCAAATCATCGGCATCTGCAGAAATTGCCATGCGAAGACTGGAGATTCACACAAACAGAACGTTAGTCCCCTTTCTGGACCAAAATAAAATAAAAATCAACTCAAGCAAAACAGAGTCAGTCCTGCTCACTAAAATGCAGTCAAACAGAGTCATTACACCCCTTAAAATTCAAAACAACACCATTCAAACAGCGAATCACTTTAAATATCTCGGTATTATCTTAGACAGGGGGTTAACGTTCAAAAGACACATCGACGACCGAGTTAACAAAGCTACGGCCATGATACGCATGCTTTACCCCATGCTTCATAGACGTAGTGGAGTTACTCGTGACAACAAACTACTACTTTACAGACAAATCATCAGACCTACACTGACATACGGATCTCCAGTCTTTTGTTCACTATCAAACATTCACATGCAAAGACTTCAAATAGTACAAAATAAGTGTCTTCGGCTGGCGTTGGGGTATGACCGCTACGCTAGAATTACGGACATGCACATCGAAGCATCCATGCCTACATTATCAGAATATATCATAAATTCCTCAAATAGATTTTACAACAACAGTCTCCCACCCCCTGTGAAGGAAGACATACTCGCACATAACATCGCAAACGCCGGGGACAGAAGGCATGGATGGTTACACGAAAAACTAGACATATACACACAAAACCATTAACACAGACAAACTCAGCAGCATCCTCCTCTCTGCGATGAGTTACTAACGGCTATTTTACAAAGGACTGGCACTCTACAAAACTAGTCCGACGGAAGACTGCACGATGACGTCACTCGACAGCACGGAGATCGGGGCCTCAGTTTACCTAGAACGTTTCTAGGTGTAAGTTCATACACCCACGCTAATTCTTTTGCAAAAGTGTATACGCAACCTTACATACGTAATATTAATTTTCTTTAACGGTTGAGCCGTGATTATAAAATTTAATTTTTTCTTTTTCATACGCCAGAGTAAGTGGTACACAAATCCGGGAGTGTACAAGTTTAATGTCGGAGCCCTTCGGGCCACCCAAAACTGTCTATGAGACAATATATTCCAAAAGACTCCGTGAGCGCATAAACTCCTCAAAACTAACGACAAATGTGGTGAAAGTCACGAGAAACCGAACAACAGAAAGCTCTCCCAAGGCTCCGAAAACTACCAGACTGCAACACCCCTACAAAACAGTGAGTACCCAAGGGATACAAACTAACAAACCTAACCTGGGATCAACTGACCAACCCAGAGGTGAATCCACGCAAAAAATTTTTACAAAAAAAAGTACGGAGAATGGACTTAGTCAGATGGTGAAAAAAGAAAGTTTGGAGAAAGCTGATGTGCCCACGCTGCACAACCCAAACAGCAAAGTCAATGAAAGTACAGAGAACAGACTTAGTACAAAAATCTACACAGAACCGACCCAAGAAAGTTTGGAGAAAACTGATATAATAAAATCCAATACACCAGCCGCAAACTGTGAAAGTACGGAGAAAGGACTTAGCACAAAAATAGTCACCGAGCCGGACCAAGAAAGTTCGGAGAAAACTGTTGTAATAAAACCCAAAACATCAGCCGCAAACTGGGAAAGTACGGAGAAAGGACTTAGCACAAAAATAGACACCGAGCCGGACCAAGAAAGTTCGGAGAAAACTGTTGTAATAAAATCCAACACATCAGCCGCAAACTTGGAAAGTACGGAGAACGGACTTAACATACAAATTGGCACCGAGCTGACCCAGGAAAGTACGGAGAAAACTGTTGTACCAGAATACAACTCAACCGCGGCAAGTCAAGAAAGTTTGGAGAACTCTGATGCACAAAAATCTAAAAGCGACAAGCCAGGCAGAAAAAGCTTGGAGAATATATATTCAGGTGCCTACAGCGACAGCACAGAATTGCAGGATAGCCCAAGGAGTACAGACGGATTCGACTCGAGCGAATCATCTCAAAGCAGTCTAGAAAAGAGCGATATCATAAGAGCAGATTCCAACGAAAGCTTGGAGAATCTGATCAACGACCTAGAGGGCAACAACGAAGAGTACTATAGTCCTGAAAATTTAAATGGGACCGTTTTAGAAATGGACCTTGACGAATCCGAGGACGAAACCAAAAAATTCAAAAAAAATAATCCAACTTTTCTGGAGAAAAAAAAGTATGTAGAAAGAGAAGAAAAATTCGAATCCGCATACAAAACTCTTCCTCTACCAAAAAACGTTAGGATCAAGAAACTAGACTTTGGACTGGATTCACCCCGGTCAGATGGCAGCACCCTCACCCCAGGAACCACCCCTACAAGTGGGGATGATAACTGCCCAAACTCCAAAAACTCAGGTGCAATAGGTCCAACAGAAACACAAACCAACAACATAACACGGAATAACACGAACAATGTCACTGTGGAGACAAACCGGGTCGAGGGTGGATCGAGTAGCTCTCGATTCGGCTTTGTACCCGCAGTAGCAGAGTTTGATGTTAACAACCCAGCCTATAAAGGAATATACAACTTACCTAATAAAAACACAGGAACCGTACCAAAAATGTACAATATCCCGAGTGACCCCAGAATAAGAATAGGCATACGAAGCACTGACCTCCCATCGAACATTGATAAGTCGATTTTCAACTTCAAATCCGGGAATAATACCTCAGAAGAGGAAAGAAAATCCACCGAAGAGCAAACCAAACAAGGAGACGAAAATCTACCGCACTCGCCCAACAGTACCTTCCTACTCAGGTCTAAAAACAGCCCTATAAAACAAGTAGAAATGGACACGGACAATGCGTCCAACAATCTACCCTTTACCACCCCTAGAAAGTTTAGTGCGAACTTTGAAAAATTAATAAGGGAAAAAACAAAGAAAACGCTCACTACCACGAAAAATAGATTTCAAGCACTAACCGATGACTCTGACTCGGAAAATGATGACGACCTGGGTAGGATAGTCAAAAGAAAGAGGAAAAAGGCTAAATCCCGGGAGGATAAAAGCAATGAAAAAAAACATAAAAAACCGGAAGAAACAATAGAAAGTATACTAGCAGAAAATAATGCTTCAAACACTAAAACCACCCAAAAAAAGGCATCCACAACCCCCAAAACCAAAAATCACATGCCACCAATCATAATTGACGGGAAGACCATGAGCCAAAACTCCCTAATAACGGACATTAAACGTATAGTAACGGGAAAATTCAGCATAAAGCATACTAACACGTCGACGATCCTCTTTCTAGAAGAGAAAGAGGACCACGAAAAGATGGTAAAGAGCATCAGAACTGAAAAACTCCCATACCATACCTATTCTAATAGGGATGAAAAGACGCACGCCTTCGTCTTAAGGGGGTTAGCCGACGGCACAAAAATTGAGGACATAGATGAAGACTTAACTGAAGAATACGACATTAAAGCAAGATCCATCTATCGTATGAATACGAAAAACCGGCCGTTGTTCCTAGTCATAACCGACCCCTCCCTGACACTGGACTATCTAAACAAAAATGCACGCAGAGTGCTCTACACCAGAGTTGTCTGGGAATTGCGAAAGTCCGTTAAACAGATAGTTCAGTGTCACACATGCCAACAATGGGGGCACGCGACAGCCAACTGTGGAAGACAACCCAAATGTCTAAAGTGCGCGGGTGATCACCACACCAGCACATGTCTAAAAACCAGAGACACCCCTGCTACCTGTGTGAATTGTGGAGGTGATCACCCAGCCAATTACACGAAATGTAAGAGCTATACAGAAAGAATTGAAAGACTAGAACTCAATCGCGCGAAGAGACCCCAACCAACTAAATATGTACCCGCCCCCGCACCAGCGGTTAACCAATGGGCGAACAGAAGAAGTAACAGAAGACTAGACGACTTCCCAGCACTACCTGATCGAGAACAGAGGCCAAATCCAAGGACAAACAATGCTACTGCTATCCCCAGAATGGAAAATCCGAGACAAACGTCCCAGGGATCAGTCACAGCCGATGTCACCTCTCTAAATGAAGCTTTCGCAGAATTGAATAGCCTCGTAAACATAGGTGAGTTAGCTAGAGCGGTAAGGCAACTTAACGCACAAATACGACTTTGCAAAACTGGACAAGAACTAATCGAAACATATAATCATTTCATGACAAATGTCGACAGTAACTTCAACCTACGCAACTAAGAACTACATAATCACAAAGACAAACTCAAAATTTGTTTTTACAATGCAAATGGGATGCGCAACAAAACCGCAATTGTTCGCAGTTTCATTCTCAAACATAGCTTTGACATCATGCTCATTACGGAGACCCATTACGCACAGACACACAAACTTAAAATACAAGGGTATGATGTCTTAAGACAAGACCGACCAGATCAGAGTTGGGGAGGGGTAGCAATTTTGATTAAAAGAGAACTGAAATACCAACAAATCTCAAACATAAACATAACACAAGAGCATATAATCATTAAAACAAATAATATAATTTTTATAGGTATATATAACCCTCCCAAAAATAACTTCAGTAAAAGAGAACTCACAACCATAACCTCACTAGGATATAGAGTATGCATGTTCGGGGAAAAAAATTGAGATCGGGGCCTCCTCGAACTCCGTTCTGGCGATGGATTTCACCGTGTAATCTAGTAAAATAGCCACATCCCCACATAGACTATCAAACATGACACACATTCACACAAGGACAACCCTGGTTTTTCGAAGTTTTTCCCAGGGATCACTCTACATAATTAAATTCATACAAAAACTCACACTTCACTTCAATTACCGACTAAAAACTCACCAATATTGCCATATTATATCTTCGGATAAGGAGATGGTACATCCCTGTCATAATTTATAAATCGGAACAGGTATTACGGGTTAGGACGTTAACACGTCTGACACTAACCAGCATGGGAGGATTACTCAACTCGCAGGACTGCGAGTTTGAATTGTATTTTACATGTGTATTACCTTACCGATGAAATGTAAATATTTTATTTAATAAAGAGATTTTAAACTTGAACTTGAGGATATCAAGATACTAATGTTTTGCCAAATAATTCTATTCTATTCTACGATTTTTTTTAAGGTTTGAAGATGTATAGGTTGGCAACGCTGTGCTGAGACAAAATTTACACATGATACCATCACAGCTTATACAATACAGCTAAAACACTCTCTTGGCGGCAACGGTTTGCGTCGATTTCGTCGCGCATCGCTTAAGCTCCGCCTTCGAAGGGAAAAGACGGTTTTGGCGTTCAGAAGTGTACTTAGGTAAGGTGTTGAGTCGTGCGTATAATTTCGTTGATTGTATAATTTCGTGGAGCCTATATTTTGGTAAATTTTGTTTGAGTTAAAGGTACTGTTATTATTTTGGTGACTCTTTAGCTGTGAGTAGAATGAATGAAAAAAAAGACATCATTCTGTTTGTGCAGTCAAAAGCTGTTTTAATAAGGGTTATACCTGCAAGAAAACATTCTTTAGTTTTCCCAAGGACCCAAACCGATAAGTACCACATTATAAGAAATTTTCATTGTTAAAAATATAATTTATACAGGGTGTCCCATTAGTGCGTTATTGTCCATTATTTTGTTGTAGACACGCAAGAAAGTTTTAAATAAAAGTTATATGGATTTGAAAAATACCTACATATTTTAAAAATATCTTTGGATATACAGGGTGTCACGTTTTTGCCTGGCAAATTAAAATGTATGTTTTTTAAATGGAACACCTTGTATTTTATTTTATGATGAAATTATTAACACCCTAAATTATTGTAAAGACGAATTGCTACAGAAAATTTTTATCAGGTATGTGTGTGGTTACCTTTTAATAAAAGCCTTGCGGATCCACTCCTGCGATACCTGTCTTAAATATAACAAAGATCACGTTGAAATAGATGATTTTTCTTTTTATTACTTTTTAAAGGCATATGATAACGCCAATTCAGATACATTTGGAAATCTGCAACTGTCAAATGATGAATTTGTAGAACTAATATTCAATATTGAAAAGATATTTCAAAATAATTTTGAAGAATTGGCTACAAAAAATAACATTTGTACCACACTTTTAGAATTAATTAACCCAATACCCTTTAGTTATCCATGCTAACGTTTTCCAAAAGAATAACTTATTTTATTGTATGTTTAATCTCAATAACTAAAAAATATACTGACAATTAGTTTGACAGGTAGTAAGATCACTTTAACAAAATTAAATCTACAAATCACAGTTCATATTTTGGTCACCCAACTCCTATTATTTAAAATTTTTTAAATAAGTGACAATTCTGTTAAACTAATTGTCAATATATATTTTAATTATTGATATTAAATATACATTAAAATTTTTGTGCAGACTCGATAAATAGTAGCATTTTTGTTTTTATTGTGTCCACATTTAAAAAAAAATAAATTTTAATTAAACTACATGATACTAATTTAATTACGAGTATTAAAACTAAAGTCCTGAAAGTTTCGGTGAAGATGAAGACAGAGCATCTGCCTTCCACGCGAAAAGTCCGGGATCGAATCTAGGCCGAGGACTAATTAATTTTTCATGTTTATTTTATTTTATAAATTAGTCAACTTCGTAAATTATTTTAAAATTAGTTATTTTGTCTAAATAACCTAAAATAATTTTTTAAATTTGTAGATTTTCGTTAGTGGGTCGTAGAAAAAATATACTGACCATATCGAGTAGATTGTTCATATCACAATTAGACGATTGAGTACTCCGCCTACGACGTCGTGCTCAAACTTCGTCTTTGTGTGATATGGCTATCATATCCACCCTTGTTGAACAAACTACAATTTATTTGTTTTGTTGGTTTAAGTTTTACATCAGAAATAGGAATTAAATTAATTTACTTTTCAAGTTTTCTTGTAAAAATCGATATTACTTTCTCCAAGTACAAATTTAGTACCTACCTAAAATAAGTACTAATTATGCGTTATATCTTGTAATATTGTAATTCAAATTTCACATTACTATAAAGTTTTAAAATTTCCTACTTCGGTATGGTCAGATAAAAATTGAATATATTATATTAATAAAAACTGTCAAAGTATATCTTCTACAAATCTGTATTTCAAATAATAAGAATACATCTAAATATAACCAATATTGTTAAAACAAAAGCACACATTCTTTATAATTCCAAAATACCATAGAGTTCCCAGACCTCAGTCGAAGCATTCGTTTATCTAGGTATAAACCCTTTGCGCGAAGAGTAACACTTGCCAGAGACACGGGGGTACCACTTGATTTGCATCCACGAGCGTGACACAATTCTTTAACAATTGAAGCCCTTGGTGTAAAAAGGATCCAAGCCACAATTTGTCGTGAAGTGACTGTTTTAGCTCAAAACATTTGTTAACGAGGATTTTACTAGCCACATATAAATTATTTTACCTCTAATCCGAAAGATGTGCTATTTTTCGTAATATTTATATTTAAATAATTTTTTTAATTATATTTGAAAGATTTAAAACCAATTAAAAATGTAATTTCCCAAAACTTACTTAATATGGCATGTGACCAACCTTATTACGCCAAGGTTTTCAATTTTTTCAATAATAAAAAAATTGTTAAATCCGGGCCCGACTTTTCCCTCGAATCTAACAGAGATAGCACCATTCCGTCTTGCTTGGTTCTCGACCGCCAGATCAAAGACGCCGACACTGAGTTGTGGAGCTGTATTGTATAAGCTGTGGCAAGACCTCTAGATACGTTTTTTAGGTCTTTAAAAATGCGCAATTTTGCGAAAAAACATTACTTTATCAAAATATCTAAAACTAATATTTAGCACGAAATTCCAGATATTATTTTTAGTACGAATGATTCAGTACATTAGTATCATTCAAAAACCCAATAAAATATTACATAGCAAGACATCTAAATACGTTTTAAAAATGCGAAGTTTCGCGGATAAATATTACTTTACCAAATAACAAAAACCAATATTTAGCACGAATATCTAGATATAATTTTTACTACGAATGATTCAGTACATTCGTATCATTAAAAACCCAATAAATCGTTGCATATATTTTTTCGATCTTTGGATTAAAATATGCATTTGGCATCTCGTGTTAAATGTTTGTTTTGTTGGTTTGATAAAGTAATATTTATCAGGGGAAACGCTTGACTTTAAAGACAGAAAAACTAAATTTATGGATGTCTTGCTATTTCATGATATTTTATTTATTTTATAGATAGTTAGTAGTGTACTGAATTATTGGTATAAGAATTGTATTTGTAATCTAAATATTTTATAATAATTTTATTTACCATTTTGTGACGTACAAAACATGGGCTGTTGATAGCTCTCGATATGGGTTTTTTATGCAATTGTTCTAGATTTGGGTGACACTATTCATTAACAGATTATTCCAACAAAAAAGAAGGGTGTTGGACTTTATTAATCTGCCTTATTATATCATAAATATACTTAATAATAAAAAGAAATTTTTCGAAAAATATTAAAAATTGCATGGGTGGGGCTATTTAATTTAAATGCGACATAAGAATGTATATGGTCCGTTTACGTTGGCCT